ATTTGATAAATTGAGTAAAATTTATTTGAAATACAAATCTTTAATTTGGCCGAAAAGTAACAATAATTATTAATACAGTTTAATGGATGACATGATAACTCATTATTATATAATAAGACATAACTCAAGAACCGGTACATCTATTGTCTCTAATAAAGTATAATACATAAGAATAATATTCATAGCAATCAATTCAATTTTTAAAAAGCCTTATAAATGCATAAATAGGTAAAAAGATAATCGTATGTTAATCCATAATAATATTATAATGAAAATTGAATTTTTAATATAAAGTAAGACTAAAGTCATATTTGGAGAAATCGATTGCAATATAATTATGATTAGAATTTCATTACATTTCTATAGAATTATATGTAAAATAATTATAGTTTGTCGAAAATTATATGTATAGTGAAGGTAATGATGGGATCAGTAGTTCATTAAAGGCTTTCCCTGATTGCTCGGCCGAAAGAATAAGAAATTGTGTTTACAATCCATTTGCGAGTCTTTATTGTATTGAGTGGGCGATGACTGCGATGAGTGTTTGCCAGAACTGGTGGCCGACGAGCTGTTCGTACACGAAGAGGACAGGGATGAGGACCGGGAGCGCAGGGAATCGCCATTGGATTGTCGTCGCGGGACTGTCCCCGTCGTCGTCTTGTAGTTTGGAGTTTGAGGTTCTGCTGAGTTATCCAAACATTTCATTAGCCATGGATTTATAGTATCTTGGTATTTATAGTATCTATGAAATCATTTGATACAAACCTTGAATCGGTGTCTCATCGTATAGCGAACCGGGAATCCTCTGCTTTAAATACATGGGCGCTCTGGTAGGCGATGGCGACGGGATAGGCATGTGATACTCGGCCACCGATTCCCATATATTGAAGTCGTGAATGGTTTGCTCCAACTGTTTGGCCCACTGTTTGATGTCAGGCATTGTGTTCTCATTGGACAGTATATAACACTTATCTTCGTTACTGATTGTCAGCGCATTTGATCCCGAATTCACTTTTGTCTTCTTATTGATGGGAATCACGAGATCGGCGTCAATGGCATCGAAGCGCTTCTTAGACGAGCCATAACTGGAAGAACTATTTCTGTCGTACTTTTTCGACCAAAACCTCAGTTGAAAGTTCTTAAGCGACGCCCAATATATGGATTCAATCTTTTGTGTCCTCACAGTCGCCTCTTTTACTTTCAGATAACCAGTGATGCGCTCAACGGTCTGACAGTCGGGCTGTACGGCCAGTCGGCAGCAAAAGTGTCCAAAGAGTGGTAATTGTGAGTTACGGTTCTCCAGGTTCTCGATCATCATGTCGTGGGTTTTGATGGCATCGGACGCCTGTTTCAAACCCAGTGTCGCCGTCGCAACCAAATGAAACTTCGGACCACTTTTGGTGATAATTGAAAACAATTAGTTATATTGTAATGCTTTGAATGAAATTCAAAAATCACATACTTTTCAGAGTCCAAGTCCTCTTTGACAGCTGCGGCCAACTTCCTGCCCAACGTCTTCGACACAGACGTCGAGATCTTTTTAGACAACTTTCTGGGCGTTGAGGCGATGCTGAGGTCGTCGTGAAGTACACGCGAATAGACCTCTAATTTGAATTCAAAATCGGGCGGAATGTTGGCGAAGACACAGATGTCGTCGAACTGGATGTCAGTCATACTTCTGTCCACATTTGTCACCATAATTGTGTCGTAGATCTCTGTGCCGATCTTCAGCAGACAAAACACNGTACGAACAGCTCGTCGGCCACCAGTTCTGGCAAACACTCATCGCAGTCATCGCCCACTCAATACAATAAAGACTCGCAAATGGATTGTAAACACAATTTCTTATTCTTTCGGCCGAGCAATCAGGGAAAGCCTTTAATGAACTACTGATCCCATCATTACCTTCACTATACATATAATTTTCGACAAACTATAATTATTTTACATATAATTCTATAGAAATGTAATGAAATTCTAATCATAATTATATTGCAATCGATTTCTCCAAATATGACTTTAGTCTTACTTTATATTAAAAATTCAATTTTCATTATAATATTATTATGGATTAACATACGATTATCTTTTTACCTATTTATGCATTTATAAGGCTTTTTAAAAATTGAATTGATTGCTATGAATATTATTCTTATGTATTATACTTTATTAGAGACAATAGATGTACCGGTTCTTGAGTTATGTCTTATTATATAATAATGAGTTATCATGTCATCCATTAAACTGTATTAATAATTATTGTTACTTTTCGGCCAAATTAAAGATTTGTATTTCAAATAAATTTTACTCAATTTATCAAATGCTTGTCCATTCATTGCAATTAATTTTATTAGTAATTGATTATCAATCGGAAAGCTAGATATACACAGAATTTATAAAACCTAAAGGGGGTTGGAGTTTATTATTTAGTTAACAATTATTTATCTTTAAATATAACATTTAGTTGAAAAAATTAATAACTAGTTTTTAATTAGTAAGTAATAGAACAATAGAATATTCTTAACATTTGTTTTTACAATCAAAATAAATGAAACAAACATTGGTCTCAATTGATTATTCTTGTAGTCGTATCCCAATTGTTAATTGTGGACACAATTGCTTATGTCATTCATGTAATACACAGAAGGGATGCCTCACGAGAACTACAGACAAACGAAGGGTTTTTGAAAGAATATTCTGAGTCCATAGCCTTGGGATTCCTGGTATTGCTGTTGATTCTGTTCATAATGTGTGGACTCGTGCGATGGCACTGTTGTTACAAAGATAAGGCACACAAACCAGAGGCCAATCCAAGACATACATCACCGCATGGAAGCAATACGTCTGAAGGCAGACGCAAACCAACCCTAAAGTCCATCACTCCTGAGAAGTCACTCAAAGAGTCACAACAACTGAGTAATGGTTTAACTGTTGACTAAAAGTTTGAATCATTTATTGATTGTAATTATGTTTTATAGACAAACAGAATCTGAAAGCAAATGAGGAGAAAAGTGTGAAAAGCATATCAAAGGGTAGTCTCAAGAAAGATGTCTCCAAAAAGAGTTATCCGTATTCTCCCATTCAAATAGAGATTGAATTCAATAAAAAACATAAAAAGATAATTAAGTCATAAACACAAATGATATCGTATTTTAGATCACATTCTGTATTAACTAAACATTTCTTATTATTTTCTGTCTTAACTGTCTAATACATGTTTTATAAAATTAAAGTTAAAGCAAAATATTTGATAAAATTCATTAAATTAAGTTTATCTTGAAATGAATTTGAATTATATTTAAATGCAATTAAATTTTATTTTAAAGACAATTTTGTAATCATTTGAAAAGTGATGAAATTTGAGAAAACCTATTGAAGGTTAGCCTGGATTTGAATGCCAACCAAATAGAAGAGTCGATCCAATTCTTTGACAAACATTTTGAGAGAATGGCATTTATCAGATCGGTTACGAAGACTTAGGGAACACTTCTCTCCCTCTGTATACAGTTGTCCATAAAGTTTAGTAATCTATTCATAAGGAATCATAAGATTGTTATAATTATCTATCAATTGATCACAACTGAGGTGTGAAGACATACTTCACTCAACACTCCGGACATCACATTATTCTTCAACTTCGCAGCCAATGATCCAAAACAGAGACCGCTTTCAAGAGCCGCCAGTTTTGGCTTAAAGTCGACTAAATCGAGAACTGCTGTCGACTCGAGTGCTGAACACTCGGCCTCTTTGATGGTGTCATTGAAGTGAACGGCTCTCCACTTCTCATCGCATATCACGGCCTGAGTTATGCCGGCAATGGCTTTCATGGCATCCGATCTCTCCTGCGGACTGTCGGCCCCATCGAGTCGTTTGGTTTCATTGGATCCCAAGAAAATTGCTTCCAATCCTTTGGTGTACTTCTGGTAGAACTGGTCATAACAGGGAAGACCACTCTCTCTGGCAATGACTGCTCTCTTCAGAACCATGTCTTCTCCGGTCAACAGATTCTTTTGAGTCAAATCATAGAGTTGTTGGTCTGACTGACCATTCAGTGCATTGGAACCACTCTTCAGACACTCGATGTCTTCACTTCT